ATTAACTTTTAATTTGAGAGCTCACGAAGAGAACAGCTAAAATGTAGAAAATAATTCAATCTGCAATGAATTCAAACATTTTTTTTCTTTGTTTGTTTTCTTCATTATTGAGTCGTGGTCAGCAAGATGAACTTGTGAGTTCAGTTCTCACTATGTGCTCCAGACCTGGGGCCTTAATCCAAATATAAGCTATGTGGCAAATTAGAAATAAATTCACTGAGCATAGGGTTAATTTTTTTTTTATTATTTTTTTTCCTTTTCAAACGTCCTGATTAGAACTGGTTTGAACTTTGGTTGCTAAAATTTGCAAGCAGATTGCATCGTCCAACAACGGGTTAGTTTGCTTCCTATTTATACATATTGGATTATATGAGAGTCTTTTTTTATGCTCAGATATTTCTGAGTAAATACTGCATCCTAATGCTGAGCCAACGTAATATGAACTCTTCTCTCACCGGCTTCATTTAGGAACATGCAATAAAATTGGTAAAATTACAAAAGATTAAATTCAAATGAAATCTCTTTTAGATAAGTTTTTAGAATAGTTTTTTTTTTTGGAACACACACAAATATAACTGTACTGTTTAAAATTAATAAAGAAAAACTGGAATGTCTATACAAACTCACTAAATGCCACATTTATATATATATATATATATATATATATATATATATATATATATATATATATATTGTTGACACTCTCGTGGTTTTTACTGTATGAGGGTTCATGAGCATGTTCCATGTTTGGGCCTTCAATGACTTGCTTTTAAAAGTCATTCAAAGCTACACAACATTCACATATAATACAAGGAATAGCTCCTTTGTGCGTATATATATATATATATATATATATATATATATATATATATATATATATATGTGTGTGTGTGTGTGTGTGTGTGTGTGTGTGTGTGTGTGAAAATATATAGAAAATAGGAAGGAACTGGTTAGGTAAATAATCAAAAGTCCCTTAGTATTGTAGTTATTATTTTTTTAAAAATAGTGCTCGATACAAAAGTAGAGCATAAATATAATTATTTATTTCAAAATATGATTCAAAACGCTACATAGAAGTCTCATTTTTCAAAACAAAGAAAAAAAATTATAAAAAAAAAAATTCGCTTGAAGATGGAACAGAGCTTATTTTAACTCAATTTAATTTAAATAATTATATTGAATTTTTCGGCTCTTGTTTTGAAAAATGAGACTTTTATGTAGCGTTTTGGAATCATATTTTTAAATAAATATATATATATATATATATATATATATATATATATATATATATATATATATATATATATATTTTTATAGACTTTTGTAAGCGAATTTAATTTTTATGTTTATAAAAATACGGAATTATTTGAAAAATAAAATTTGAGATATTTTTAATTTATTTATGATTATTATTTTCTTTGTTTACGATCTATTTTCATTTTTATTTATTTTTTACTTATCAAGAATATTTTCAGCCTGCTCTGTAAATACCCATTTTTGAAACAAAAATTAAAATAATTGTAAACAAAGTTGTAAATAACACTACAATTTATCTGGTAAAAAAAAAAAACAGTTAAACATAAGAAAAGGCATGATGTAGAACAAAAAAATAAAAATAACAAAACAACACAAGAACAATTAAAAATAATGAACATAAAATAATATTTGAATCTAAACAAAATAAAATCAAGCTGATTAAAAATAAAGAACATAAAAAATAAGATTTTAGTAAAAACAAAATAAAATTAAATAATGCGAAGACACATAAAAAGAATAAAAATAAAATATTTTAATTTAAACCAAATAACATTAAGATGTATAAAAATAGTATAAAAAAATAGTACAAAAAATAATGCATTTATTTGAAACAAAATAATATCAAGACTATAAAGAATGAACATAAAAATATATTTTGGTTTAAAACAAAATATTAAGATGCTTAAGATAAATTATTAGAAATAACGACGATAATAAAATGATATTCTGGTGAAAAAAAAAAACATTTGAAAAAAATCATTGTCACATAAAAAACATAATGTAAATATTAGTAAAATAAATAATAACAACAACAGAGCTTTTGTCAAAAATGTAAAATATAATAGAAAAATTTCTTAAAAATATTTTGGCTTCTTTATAATAGTCATATTAATTCTCTCTTATAGATTCATTTTTTGAAAATTTTCTTCTTGCATAAATTTGGTGACTACCCCCTCCTATTTTCAATAACAACAAAAACAATTGTTTATCTCGAAATTTTGTAGTTTTTTTAAAATTCATTTTTGGTTTAGTTATTTTTTCTTTTTTACTAAACTTGCTTTTAGCGTTTTTTTTTTTTTTTTTCTTTCTTTTCTGGAAAGGTTTCAGGTGAAGCAAAATGCAGATTTATTGTTTTGGAACCATAAGTGGTGACCTTATAGGACGCTTTAACAAACTGAGTTTTTTTTTCTCCCTCCAGCCAAACAAATTTTTGACCTTCCATTGGCAAAGAAAAAAACATAACAGGAGAGGGAAAAGGTGGGAAGAAAGAAAGAAATAAAAAAAAATCAAATGAATAAAGAATGAAAATAAAAACAGAAATAAAAAAAAGATGAGGAAGGAAAATTTGAAAGAAAAAAAAATTAAAAGTGGAAAAGAAGTTTTCAAAAGTATAATGCTCTAAAAAAAATCGTTGAATAAGACAGAATGAAAATGTTAGTAAAATCTGAAGGTGGATCAATAAATCCATAGCCTGATGCATAATCTTCAGAATGAGGATTGGCTCATTACAGTAGTACAATTTATGATATCAGACACCTAACCACTGCTACACAGTCAGGTACATTATTATAAGCGGTAAAATCCCTTTCAGGGCGGAGGCGTTCATGCCTTCCTAGAGATTATTATTTTTGGTTGCTTGAAGTAAATTTTAACCCTTTACCATCCATCTTCATCTTAACCTTCATTCATTCAATGTCATTAAATCCAGTGAGTGCTCATTTCTTCAAGCCGTCTTTCCTCATAATTTTTTCAGATATTTCAACTGCTGTTCATATAAAAATTTCCTTATTAATTACATTTTCTGCCCGGCGCATTCTCAGCAAACATTTCTATCGATTCCTCTCCCAATACAAGGTTAAAGTGCCACTTAAGGTAGAGGGTTACTGAATGAGTTGAATGGCATAGACATCAAAGGAGGCAGTAAAAGTGAAGACGATGAGGGTATAGACAACTATTGACCTTGGACTGGAAGAAGTTAAGATTTTAGTAATCGAGAAAGAGAATCTGTTCCACAAGGTAGCAGTTCTTGGGAAGAAACCGAGTGAAACTTCTTTCTTACAAATGGAATACAAAGGGAATGAGGTTCATTCGACTCTGTGGTTACTTCCAATTTTTTCTTCATATGTGAAGAAGAGATTGTGCAACATTCACTACCAGAGAGAAGATTAGATATTACATATCTCTTTTTTAGTTTCTAATGAGACTTTCTTATTTCTCAGTATCTTTCTTAAAACGTTGACTGTGTTGAGGTCAATTACGAAATCAGACTTCAAACACCAACTTTATGATAGCCAACTTAGACAATAAAAATTTAAGAGTTGATTTATAACTTCAACTGAAGTCTTAGCATTGTTTTCACACTAAAAATATCACTGCGAATAAACTCTTTGTTGGCGCCCAACAATAAAATATATTTTAAAAAAATGTCAAGCACGAGATAATTCGCTGCAAATAATAAATATATAATAATATATAATAAATAATAAGATAAAGCTGCCAACCATAAGTTAATTCGTGGTTGACAGTCAATGCGTTAATTATAGTTTTTAAACATTCAGTATTAATTCAATCAGTCAGTTTTGCGCCATGCGGGATACACGCTTAGGCGATCATGTATCTTTCGATACATGACTGACGAGGCAAAATTTTTTCCCGTAGTAGGTTGCCATTTCTTTCTGCGGTAGACCAGTTGCAATCCAAGGCCGTTCTGCTATTTACCCAGATCTGGGGGAAGAAGAAGAGGATTCATACCTTTCCCAAGGGTATTAGTAGGTAAGTGAATGTAATGGATTCGACTGGAATTTGAACTCGGCTCTCTGATACCTTAATCCGAGCCGCTATCCATTACTCCACTATATTAATTACTAGCAGCATGGCCCGGCGTTGCCCGTGCTTGATTCAAAAATCGAACGACTCGTACAGCAATCGCTATCACTTGACTTAAAATATTTTTGCCCTTCCTTGCCTTTAAAGGAGTGCCCTTTGCCGTGCTGATGTTGCTACATGCCTTACTTCTTCCCTATGTCACACTGCGAATTTTTTCTAAGCTCTATGCTAAACATTAAATCTGTTACGAAAAAAGAACTAAACAAAATAAACACAAAACGATCAGCTTTAAAAAACGGACTCGTAACTGGAAAAAACGAATGAAAAAAGAATGTTAGCAACAAATACTTTTTCACACCCAACCCAGTTCTGCGGAATCAGAATCAACGTTGAATTTAAGCAAGCGAATGAGCCAATTGGAGTAAAGTGCCATGCAGATTTAAATTTTTCCCACTTGTGACGAATGCAGCTATTGATTTTTTTTTTGCATGCTAGTTAACATTCGTGTCAGTCAGCTGTTGGCTCTCATGCTGGCCAATAGAATCTTCCTGCCTATTCGTGGCGGCCAGCTATTGGCTCTCACTCTGGCCAGTAGAAAATGGCCGCAAACTACATGAAAACTGCCATAGAAGCATGAAAAAAATCGATTATTTCTACTATCGATGGGAGTTGGGAAATGCAAAGTCGATCTTGGCCTGCCCGTTAACTTGGAGCATGTGCATGTAAATTTTGGTGCAAATCCGTCGAAAATTGCGGCCGTGCATTCGTTACACACACACACACATCCTGCCTTTTATAGATAGAGATAGTTTTCTCAACAATTGCCCACTGGTGCTCACATTCCTAAAAATAAGATGGTGGACATTAATGAGTTAATTTATATTTAATTATGCTAATATATTTACAGCTACATCACATTCAAATACCGGTTCTCGTCTGATCACCGAAGTTACGCAAATTTGAGCCTGGTTAGTACCTAGATGAATGCTCGCTTGGGAATATTAGGTGATGTAAACTTAGATGTGTGTATAGCGTGATGGATAGCAACTCATAGTCGGCGTCATAATAAAAACTGACAACCACGAGTTATCTCATGGTTGGCAGGCAATGTGTTAATTTCTGAAAGGTATCTTTAGCTATACCTATGCATCTTCAAGTTACCGTGTGGTTGAATTTCTGCATCTGCTTGATTTTGGCGTCCCCAACATGTACTTCATTTCTTCAAGTGTATATATTTTTTTTGAGAACTATGTCTTCTGAGAGGTAACAGTCCTTTCTTTTTGTTTTCTTTTCCTACCTTGTCTAATACTTCTATTGGTTTTCTTTCTATGACTGCCTTCAATACAGTGTCATCCGGGTATCATGTTTATGAAACCATGAACATAACATGTGAGCAACGAAGGGGATTAAGGAGATTAAAAACTACAGAGAAATTGATACTTACAATAAGAAAAAGGCAATTGAAATTTCTAAGATATATAATGAGAAAAGAGGGCATAGAGGATTTAACACTCGCAGGACATGCTAAAAGCTGAAGGAAACAGGGAATAACCTACTTAACGATTTCGTGTCAATGGACAGCAGAAGAACAATTAGGAATTGTAAAGGGGCATAAGTTACTTTAAAAATGGGCAGGAGGTTGCGAAGAACCATGATCAGTCACACCCTGAAAGTTCAAGATTAAAGAAGACAGAGGAAGACCAAACTCGTCAAATGTGATTTTCAAGTATTTACGATGCTCCTTGGTCTAGTAAACACCAAGTTAAAGAAAAGGAAAACTGAAGAAGAAAACTAGCAGAATGGAAAAAAAAGGTAAGAAGGCTAGAGAGGAAAAGAAAATGGCGTGAATAACGAAAGTACATAGCAAATAATGGTGAAAAAAAAAAAAAATGGAGTTAGGTTTGGAAAATGACGAATGAAGAAAAATATAGATTTAATTCGAACTCTTTTCAGTCACACCAAATTTTGAAATTAAAAAAATAAATGAAAGAAATCTCAATCATTTCGTTTTTCGTTTGTTTTTCGTTTTTTTTTCAGTCAAAAAGTCGGCTGCAGAATAATAAAAAAACCAAGCATAAAAATTATTTTTCTGTCAGAATTTTTCTGTTTGTCGTAACTATCTTTTTATTGAATTTTGAGAATTGAGCAAATGCTGTTACCAAAAGACGAATTGTATGGTCTTCGTCCATAACCCAGGCAGTTAACAAATAAAAGAAAACTAAGTAAATCAAAGATTTCTCTTCTTGATTTGAAGATAAAACCAATAAACTGACAAGTTAAGATAAATGATCATCAAATAAAGTCACGGAGAGAATAATCTTGTTTGAAAAATTGTGGACCATGTTGTGACGGGAATCTGAACCAAAGACGGAAGAAATATTAGAATTTAGAATAATCAAACACAAAATAAAACGAGGACGCTGATGGCTGAAAAAAGAACCAATCACTGCCACTGTAAGGGTCTAACTGTATAAGCGCCAAATTCAAAAATTCATCCTCTTTTTAATTCCACTTCATTATTCAGGGGGCACGAAGCAATACTGCTTCCTTCACCACAAACCCCAGAGAGTGACACCAGGTTACGGAAGAACGGAGCTGAGAAATTACGACTATCTTAAGAAGTTAGCTGTGGATTAAAAGTGAGCCCTTCTTCAACAAAGACTGATGATAATTTGCCAGGAGGTTTCTTCTAAGCTAAGTTTGCACACTCACATTGTCTGCAAAAACATTTTTTCTTCATGTATCTTTCTCTATGCAGATATTAAATATAGTTAAATAGTACCGGTTGCTGTGTTTCTTTCGCTTCGGAAGATGTCGCTCAGTTAGTTTGAGCACACGTGACTACATACTAATATTCTATAAACGGAGTTGTATCATGGCGTATTATTGTAGAGATAATCATAAAAGAAAGGAATAAAGGAAAAAAAGGACTCTTGTCAGAAGCGGAATCATATGTGATTGATTTTTTTTTTTCATTGATGTTCACAACATTTTAATCGTTTCATAATAATATGTGACTAAAACTTTCATACATCAAATCATTGTTTATTTATTTCTGGATTCCGTCAAATTAACGTCGGCCATGAGGGTATTTGATTTTTCGGAGACTTTCTTATAAACGTTCAATCTTCTTGAGAATATGTGAGGGACTTTTCCTTCCATCTCATGGGTCGGACGTTAAAATAACTTCTAGCCATCAAATTGACTCGTGGATATATATCCTAAGTTCAGCTACGGTCACTTCTCGTTTTTATGTCGGCGCAGCCACTGAAATCTTTTGAGGATGGATTCTGCACTTGGTGGCTATGATCTCAACTCGATCAACCCTTTGATGCACCTAGCTCTTTTGATGTTGTGGTGTGGCACCGAGTACAAAGTTTACTTTGGTATCTCTTACGGTGAACACCGTATATATTGGAGTTACCACAGATCGAATTTTGTTCTGAAGGAGCTTACATCTGTGTGTTCTTGGTGTTGCTTCCTCTTAGCTTTTGCGCTGAACTCTTGATCTCCTGGCCCGTAATAACCAACAACAGTGATTAAAACACTACCTATATCAAAATAAAATTTTAAACTGTTTTCTCGTTTAGGCATCAGCTTTACTTAAATGGACTGGCCTCCTCATAAAAATAGGGAAAAAATTTGTAATAACTTTTTCGATTAGCATTCTTTAGATCTCAGATATATATATATATATATATATATATATATATATATATATATATATATATATATATAGTAAGAGGCAAAAAAATGGACGCACCCATAGAAAGTCAATTTTTGTATTTTCACCAAGTGAGCAATAGAATTCGTTTATTAATACAAGTGTACATACGTACATTATATAAGTCAAAAATGATTTAGTATTTTGTTGGGTAACCTTTTGCTTTAATAACGGCCTTAATTCTTCGTGTCATGCTATAGACTAAATTCTTTAGTAAATCAACGTACTTCGCCAGATTTTTCCGGCATTTCTTTAATTCGCGAAAAAGCTCATCTTCCGTGTTAACTTTCCTATTACGGGCACGTTTGTCCATTATCGCCCAAAGATTTTCAGTTGGATTAAGATTAGGACTCTGACTAGGTCACTTGAAGAGTTGCAATTTACTCTCGTCACGCTTTCTCTCTAGATAATGTTTATTCTTTATGATAGTATGCTTAGGATCGTTATCGTGTTCGAACGTGAAGCACGGGTCTTGGGCAAAAACTTTTTTTAGCTGAGCCACATTTGATTAACAAAAATGTCGTAGTATTGATGCTGGTCCATGATTCCTTTGATTTCGTACAAATTACCAACTCCTGCTGCTGAGAATGCACCCTATACGTTGATTTTTTTTATTTTTATTTTTATTTTTTTTACTGGAGTATTCGTTTCAACGGGCGTACACCAAACACGTATTCGTCCTTCATATCTAAGAGTAAAGTGGCTCTTGTCACTCCACATAACATCTTCCCAATCAGATTTAGTCCAGTGTAGAAAGAACTTTACACCAAGCTAACCATGCCCGTCGATTTTCTTCAGATACAAAAGGTTTCTTTTTATGTATTTGGAAACAATGCCTTTTGCTTTAAGCCTTCATCTGACTGTTCTTGAAGAAACTGTTAAACTAGCTGCTTTGGAAACATCTTGTGCTTTTGCAAGTCGATCAAACCAAGTTTCTATCTTCACTTTTGGTAGTTTTTAGCGGTCAGCAGATCCGCTACCGCTATTATATGTTCCAGTTTGATTTCCAGTTTGATTAACTTGCGGACACATGACTCACTTTGACTAATCTTATCAGCTATCGCTCTATTCGACAGCCCAAGATCATGAAAAGCGGCTACTTGGCCTTTCTCGAGATCAGAACAATGCTTAAGCATGTTAATAAATTTAAATACAAATGCAATAAGCTCTATATTTTGTTCATCATTTCTATGGGTGCTTCTATTTTTACCTCGTACTCTCTCTCTATATATATATATATATATATATATATATATATAAAGAAAAAACAGTAAGATATATAATCCGGTCTTCTTATATATATATATATATATATATATATATATGTAAGCAAATATATGGATATAGATCCGACAGTATGAAGAAAAATATACGGAAAAAATAAACAAAAATCCTATTATGCAATTATGCTGTTTTAATGCTAATATAATGTCAACGTCGGGCGTTTCGGTCTAATAAACCATCTTCAGGACATATTCATAAAATATAATTAACATTATCTTTGTCATGTTGAATTGATAATGTTAATTATATCTATGAATATGTGAAGATGGTTTATTAGACCGAAACGTCCGACGTTGACATTATATTAACATTAAAACATATAATTGCATAATAGGATTTTTGTTTGTTTTTTTTTGTATATTTTTTATACACATATATATATATATATATATATATATATATATATATATATATATAGTTAAGATTTTTTCGAATGTTCATACCAGTAGGAAGAAAGAAAATCTGTAAAAATGGCATGAGACAGCACTCGAGCGAATTAACCTTACACTCCTTCTTAAAAGTCAAGTTACTTTTATTTGAAACAAAAAGAAAAAATACATTGATTTACATGAAGACTATTGTCTTCATCTTTGCAGGCAGATTATTTTTAAGGCTCCAAGTTATACACTTAGGATTGTCTCACGGGACAAAAACTGTCATCGATTAAAGCTTTAGTTCGTGAATTTGGTGACAAAATAATTGGTGAGTTCAATCCCTGGGCTAACCAGTGTGTAATTGTAGTCGGTGGAAACTGAGCGAGCAATATTAAGATACAAGATATCGCATAACACGATCAGCAGAACGAAAACAAGCCACCCTTAAAAATATGAATAAAGGATTCAGTTCGAAATTCCCTGAAGGTTAACGACACGTACTTGGCGCAACCCCTCGTGTAACATTCGGACAGAAAAAGAAATATATAGTCATGAGATGATTGCTAATGATAACAAAAGGTCTCACAAATCGAAGAAAAGAGAAGACTGAATGAAAAAGAGAGAAAGAGAAC